AGAAGTAAAATAGTAAAAAATACAAGCTGCATAAGAAATGTGACCAAGAGTACCAAACAAATGAAAGTACTAGATGTAAAATCCTAAATTCAACCAAACAATTACAACCACGGTTACATGTAAAAGAAAAATTACAAGTTACATTTAAATAATAATTATGATTGTAATCTACCAAAGACGTTCTAAGTGAAAAGAGGCTCCTTGGAGATCCCAAGCGATAGTTTTCAAACCTGGACGTCGATATTTCAAAAAGGAAAATGATAGGGGCACACTCTCAACCACACATCCAACCACACCCCCCTCTCATATGCTACAGTGCATCGTGCCCCACATGGGATTTTAAATTTTAAAATCCCATGTGAGGCCCGGTGCACTGTAGCAAATGAGAGAGGGGGTGTGGTTGGAGGTGTGGTTGGGAGTGTGCCCCTATCATTTTCCTTCCTAAAAACGAGGGGCCTACAAGTAGCATGATTCTTTTTTTTCCCCTTATGAAAGTCCACTGCCTTTCACATACATGACGGGTCCACGTGGAGGTTGAATGGAAGAAAAATCATTTAAAGGGCTGTCTATAGAAGAGTACTATGGCAATACTAATTAATGTTGAAGTTAAAAGGAAGCGGTTGATTGTTTGTTAATTTTTGTCAAATGATTATACTGATTTAAAACTAAAGGGCTGTTTGATTCATTTCCTAAACCTAATTTTGGGAGATTACTCATGGGAAATAGGTTGTGGGACCCATTTCTATGTTTTCAAGCTCATTTCATGACTTTTTGGGATGAAATGAGTTTCCTTTAAGGGGCTGTTTGGTTGGCTGAGAAACTAAGAAAATGAAATCAAAACACCTGACACACCATGTGAAGGTTTTTGATTTCATTTTCTTGTGTTTGGTTGAGAGAAGAAAAAAGAGATGTTGTGCATGTGAGACTCACCCATTAGTAAGATAATAGTGTCATGAGTCCCAAATATAAGAAAACCTATTTCCTCCCAAAAAGTCATGAAATTCGTTTGAAAACATGAAAATGGGTCCCGGCCTGCAAGGGATCGCCCAACGAATCCATCAACGTACCTGGGCACGACTCCAGAGCACCAGCAGGCATGCCGGCAGAGAGACGGTCGGAGTAACGTCCGGGACCTGCACCCCTCACTTTGCACCTCTTAGATTTCGGAACCATTGTAAGAGGAAGCGGGAATTCTTTCCTTGGATGTTCCCTTTTGAGATTTGAAAGCACGGTAAATCCCAATGGAGGAAAACGGCTGATTTAGAAGGGCGGAGTTGCCCACGTGACCACGACTGCCCTCGAAAGGCGAAAACCCTAACGAACAAGAAACGTGGCCACGATTAAATTCGACGGTCCAGATCACCCTCAGTACATCGAAGGAACCAAGACTGGCGGTTGAATCCAACGGTTGAGTCCGAGAACCACGGCCACGATACGTCGCAGGGCGAAACGCACGAGGATCGTGCTGTCAAGTCACGATCGCCACGATCCAATGTCTTAGCTGGGAAGCACGAGGCTCTGTCAGCAGACGCGTGGCTCATCTCTCGTCAGATCCGGTTCCGCCTACAAAAGGAAGGGTTTCGCCTGCAAATACTGGGCATAACCCCACGAGTCGCGCGAGAATTGGCTCTCAAAAATTAATTTCGCCTTGACGATGCATTCGCCCTCAAAGGTAAAATTACGAACAAAGCCAAAAGAATGACCTTGCTTAAACGGTTGAAACCCACGCCCCAGATGGCTAAGGGTTAGAGCAGAAATCTTAGCATTAAGCCTAAGAGAAACTGTTCGACAACTCATCATACTGAGGAGAATAGTATGGCTAGCCCGATTCAAACGGTAATCGGTAAAGGCACATCAAACCCGTTGATAGCTGAGGGTTTGCTAAAAATCCTAAGAGAAATCGCAGGCACTTGCTTCGCCAACAGTTTCTTCATTCAAAGTGTTCCAGACCACACGCAAGCCAGTTTAGGTCCGAAAACTTTGAAGGGGGTCTTGTAGACGGTAAAAAATACCTCTATGGGTCTACAGGGAATTTGTCTACGAGAAGAGTTCGCACGCCCAGTTCTCTGACACGGACCTAAACCGCGTAGACGTCGACTGTGCTCAAATCCAGGTTCGCCTAACGGTCGACTCGCCAGCATGAGTCAGGAAGCATTCAAGAAAAAAAAATAAAAAACACTTTTTCACGTACGCATTTTTCCTGTAGCTTACACAAGCCCGTCTAAATGATACTTATTATTATTTTATTACTTTTCCAGTCCGACATTTTAAATTGTAAAAAAATAACACATACATATTTTAAGTTATCCATCGTGAGAATATTATAAATATCATTAAAAAATTTATTATGATAAAAATAACCCTTCATAAACATAAATATAAAATTTAGTAAAACGATCAATAATATGTATGATGAATAATATGTATAGTGATAAGTATGATAATAAATAGGATCAGTATAATTACAAAAATATCATGTGAGAATATTTCCACGTGCAACTAACAGAAGGTACTAACGTGCCTGTTTTTTATATCTTAGGGTATTAAAGTACTATTTTTTATAATTTAGAAAATTAAATACTAATTTTAATAATTTAGGGTATTAATTTAAATGTACAGTCCGAGAAATAATTGGGTGCTTAAGTGTTATTTAGTCTCTAGATAGTGAAAACTATATCTCTAAATTCATTTTAAAACTATAGAAACTAGATGAATAACTATAAAAATTTCCCCTTATTCTATTTGGGGTAAACTTTACAAAACCCCTAAAATTCGGTCACATTTTGATAAAACCTTCCCAAACTTTATAAATGCTAATTAACCCTCCTAATCTTTGCGCCCCCCCACCCCACCCAAAAAAAAAAAAAAAACCCCTCCCCCAAATTATAATTTAAAAAAGAAAATGTGAAAGGAAAGGGTGTTATGTTTGCAAAAGACAAATGACTAAATTTTGAGTTTTTTCTCTAAAAAATATTTTAGTTATTTGTCAATTATATGTAGGAGATTGATGAGAAAAGTTGAAGTCTAGATTGATTTTGTACGACACCCCAAAGTTCAGGAGAATTTAATCGAATAAAATTGTTGAGGTGGGAGAGTGGGGGTATCTGCAATAATCCCCGAGTTCAAGGGGCTTATAGATTAAAAAAACTCAAGGGTTATATGGAACACCCCTACAATGTTAGTTTTTTTAAAGATTAACCCTTATTTAACCCCAAATCAGTTTGGCCCCCAAAAAATTCGCGGATAAAAATACTGTTAGCTTGACTCGGTCATGGATGACCAAATCAACCATGGTTTCTCAGTAGAGAGAATAGTGGAGAACGTGAAAATGAGTTTGTTGAGAGAAATTCTCTTAGAAGCGGTTAGGAGGGGGTGAAGATAATGGGTTTGGCTCCTATAAAAAGAGGAGTAATCTCCTTGAGAAAATTGTAACACAGAAACAAAATCAAACCCTAACCTGTTATCGGAGCCCCCCTCAAAATATCAGATTGATCTTTTCTCTTCTCTATGCACCAATCACTTGTATTAGAGCCATGACGACTGCGCCTCCATCGACAACTGCGCCTCCTCCGACCCTACTACGTTTGAAGGCGACGATGACCTCGATCACTCGACCGCTGCTATGACGACGACGGCTGCTGAAGGAGATCTAGTCGCTGAAGATTCGCACCATCGGGACCCGCCGTCAGTCGACGGAGTTGGTGGTTTCGCCGTCAACCCTCTTTTGGATCTGAGATTTTTTGTTCTTCCGATTTCTGTGAAGGAGTCTCGCGGTGCCCTCCACTTCTAGAGACAAGCCTAGTTTTCACGAGCCCACATCAACCTCTACCCAGCTTCACCCTAGGCCTTGGATTTGTCCATTTTTTATTTACAAAGCCCACATTACCGACCCACTTTCCTACAAATTTACAGCCCCTCATTCCTTTTATTAGATAAGCAGAGCTATTTTCAGTTTAAAAAATCAGCCAGTTGTAGTTGTCCCGATCAAGTGGAATCTGATGACAACAACAAATCATCTCCAAATCCAGTCAGAAACGACGACAAAACTCCAACAAGTGTTGATCCAATCAATACCGTTGAGTGACAATCTCGCTCAAATTGGAGCCTCTTTCATCAACTCGGAACAATCAGGTTCATTTTTATTTATTTATTTATTTTTAGCTAACTTTATTATATTTTAGTATAATTGTCAATATATCAACTTTATACATATTTAAATTGAATTTAGTTTTAGTTCTTTACCGAATGACTAGTAAACTCGTTCTATCAGAACTAGAAAAAATTAACAAATTTAATAGCAGTAATTATGATATGCAGCATAGAGAAATAGGATATACTCTTATTCATAACAATATTGATGATGTAATCGAAACCACTGCTCCAACCCTTACTGATAAATCAACATCTGAAGAAAAGAAAGGGTTTGAACAGTGGAAGTCGAAAGATAAAAATGCGAAAAGCCTTATGCTCATGTTCATGGAAGATAACTTAATCAAAGTTTTTGAAACTTATAAGACTTCCACTTATGCTCATGTTCATGGAAGATAACTTAATCAAAGTTTTTGAAACTTATAAGACTTCCATGGATATGTGGAATGCAATAAAAGAATAACTTAATCAAAGTTTTTGAAACTTATAAGACTTCCATGGATATGTGGAATGCAATAAAAGAAAAATATGACACTGCTTCTAAAGTTAACATCCAACTCCTTTTGCATAAGTATAATTCTTGTCGTATGCAAGAGGGAGACAATGTTGTAGAGCATATAAATAAAATGATTGTCATGGCTAAGGACTTATCCACCGCTGGGACTAAAATCCCAGAAAGAATGCAAGTGGCAACCATTTTGAATAGTATTCCTCCTTCACTTGCTGTGGCTACCACCACATTAATAATGAATCCTGCCATTAAGTCGGTCACTGATCTTCCTATGCACCTAACGATAGAACAAGACTTAATAGCCAGTAGGAAGGAACCATAACTGAATATGGTGTAGCAGGAGCTGAATTATGTCCGCCAGAGGTATAATACTGGAAGCTATAAAAACTCTGGTCCTAGTAAATCACAACTACAAGGACCAAAGTCACAGCAGTTCAAGAGAAAGAAAGTATCCCGCGGAGCCTGCTATAATTATGGAAAGTTCGGGCATTTCAAGTCCAATTACCCACAAGGTGAAAAGCAGGAGAATAAGGGAGGCTATAAGCATTCAGAACAAGGGGGTACTAGCAAAAGAGAATTTTTCGGTATGACGAAATGCAATGCTATGATGACAGATATCAGCGGTTGGTGGATCGACTCCGATATGACTAGGCATATCGCAAAGGACAAGAATGGAGTCGTAGAATTCACCAAGCTAAAGAAAGGAGAACATATAATCTATATGGGAAATAATACCTATCTAGATGTAGAAGGTATTGGTTCATATAGATTGGATCTTGGGGACAACATTCTTGTGCTCAAATATGTGTTCTATGTGCCAGGAATTTGGTGCAATCTGATTTCTGTTCCCAGCTTGATAAAGAAATGACTGGAAGTTAGGTTCTATATAACATAGTTTCTATAGGCAATAATAATAAAGTGTATGCTATGGGAAAATATGTGCCCGATCATTAATTATGCATTCTTCCAGTAATTTGTAATAATTCTGATAATAAAATTTCTAATTTGAACTACTTGTCATGTTATATTTCTGAGTCTGAATTGTGGCATTCTAGACTAGGACATGCTAGTATTTCAAAATGAAAGAAATTATCAGAATGAACTTGTTTCCTGCACTATCTAATGTTCAATTACCACCATGTGAATATTGTTTAACTGGTAAAATGACTAGATAACCTTTTATTGGCGGACAAAGAGTCAATGAACTTTTAGGATTGATACACTCGGATATTTGCGGTCCCCTTGTTAGACCCTAGAGGGGGGTGATTAGGGTCTTATGCTAATCTAATCCGATTAAATGCCAATTAAAACTTATTAATAAGTTATCCTAGCAAATATGAAATACCATAAGATATATAAGCTAGGATAAGCAATGCAAACAAAGAGATATATCCTATATGATGAATATATATATATATGCAAGGATAAAATAAACAATCTACACAAGTGATAGGGTAATATGATGAGCAATACACAAAGGCGATATAAGATATGAAAACAAGAATAAGAACGCCAATGCAATCACAAACAAAACGATATGATTACGGAGTTCGGTCTAACCACTTGACCTACGTCTCCGCTCCTCACCTCGAGGAGATCTCCACTATCACAACCGGGTTTTCTACGTTCACCCGAACAACGTTTACACCTCACAATACAATCACTATGTAATCACACCTCACACACTAAGTGTTGGTCCTAGCCCGTGTCCTCCTCCTCAAGTGCTCGGTTACAACCTCTCCCTAGGCACGTCAACCGACGCCACTCCTCTTGGATTCGACCCCGTCTCTCACCACACACTTCTCTCGGTGTACAAGTGTATTACAAGTGAATCCTCACAATTAGGCTCAATACAAAGTGTTTGTTCTCTACAATGAATGAGAACGAATTATAAGCTCACTCTCTAAGTTACACAATCCCCACAACCCAAATTATACAATGTATGAAAATACAATAAGCTTAATGGTTGTGTGTGTAAACAAAGAGTATCAATAAAACAATTAAACTCAATCTAGAAATCTAGCTTATGGAAATTAAGATCAAAACAATAAATAGCTAGAATTGAGTTTAAGGAAAACTTCTCTATAGATCAAGAGTGAGAGAGAGATGAGTTGAATGCCCAAACACCAAAGGATGATCTCCTCTTTGCTCTTGTGAAATTTGCTTCACAAACTAAACTCAAACAAACTCTTAAACTCTTTTAAACAAAACTTAAACCCTTGATTAAAAACTTTCTTAAACTTGTTTTAAAACTCTCTTGGATGATCTTGAAAGAAAACAGCAAAAAACTCAGCCAAAACCCCAAAACAAATAACAGAAAAGTCCCCAGAAGACAGCTCAGAAAAATAGCCGTTAGTGTCTAACGGATCTATTGGCGGTCGACCGACAGAACGTTCGGTCGACCGAAAAAAGAATTCGGTCGACCGACGAAAAATCCGGTCTACCGCGAGCAGGTCTGAAAAACAAAAAACAAGCAGAGACTTCGTCGGTCGACCGGTGCGGTCGACCGATGGAGCTCTCGGTCGACCGACCAACTCTCTGCTGCATGGTGACGAAAGAACAAATGATCGGTCGACCGGTGCGGTCGACCGAATACTGATACTACTGAAAAACAGTTTTAAACAGATTTTTGACTTTTGGAAAATTGTTAAAAATAACAAATGAAGTCCAAAAATAATGAAATTTTAGGAAATGTATATAAACATGTAAATGAACATGTTACAAAAAGAATTTTCCAAATTTCATTTCCCATTTATGAAAAATCATCATTTTGCAAAATAGTTCAAAACACGAAAATGGAAACATGTGAATTTTGATATTTTGGCTAAACCATGTTTTGAAACTTTGCACAATTGTGAATTTTGATATTTTGGCTAAACCATGTTTTGAAACTTTGCACAATGATTATATAGACTTAATAAAGTATGTATATGATTATTGTTAAGTCCAAAAACTAAGAATATAATATTTTAACAAAATTGTATATTCTATGCAATAAATACCCAAACACAATAGTAAATATGAAACATGTGATTTCATATTTATAAACATGAAAACTCAAAACTATGTATGTATATATATAAAACTATATATATGCATAGAAACCAAAACTTGTGTATATATATATAACTATATATATATACGAAGAAACCAATAAAATGTGTGTGTATATTATATTGAGCTTAACGTATTAAACACACATAATATAAATCCTAAACTAAATTATCCAAGCTTGATCTTGATCTTCATTGAGCTCAACTTGGTACACGTTGCGGATGAAGCTAAACTTGGATCTTGAACTTGAATTGTACGATGCTCCAATCACAGCAGTTGACAACTCTTTAATAGAATGACCTGAATATGTCGAAGCCTCAGTCCAGAAACACTTCTGCAGACCATTGCTTGACAACCAACACCGATTCTCCTCCAGCAAGGCACGGTTCTCAAAATTTGTCACCATATCCACCCCTAAGTGTCAAAACTCATAGTAATAAAGATTATTTTATTACTTTTATAGATGATTATTTTAAATTTGCATATGTCTATCTTATATCTAGATAATTAGAAGCTCTTTACTGCTTTAAGAGATATAAGACAGAAGTTGAAAACCAACTTGAAATAAAAATCAAAGTTTTGAGAACTGATAGAGGTGGAGAATATAACTCTAAAGAATTTGAAAGTTATTGTATTCAGCATGGAATTAAAAGGCATACAACAATGCCATATACGCCACAACAGAATGGCGTTACTGAAAGAAAGAACAGAACATTGTTGAATGTAGTTAGATGCATGTTGTCTCATTCCGGTCTCTCTAAAAACTTTTGGGGAGAAACATTGTTAACTACAAACTATATTTTAAATAGAATTCTCACCAAATCAGTTGTATCTATACCTTTTGAATTATGGAATGGAAGGAAACCTAATTTGAGTCATCTCAGGAAGTGGGGATCTATAGCCCATGTTCTCATTCCATGTCAACTTAGAGATAAGTTTGATTTTAAAATAATAAAGTGTAGATTCATAGGGTATTCAGAAAAGTCAAAAGATTATAAGTTCTATAATAAGGAAAATGAAGTCATTGAAAGCAGAGATGCTACATTTCTAGAGAATCTAGAGGAAGAGGAACAAGTTCAAGAGGAAACAGAACCTCTAACTGTAATAGATGATGATTATTACAGTGTTGTTCCCACTAATGAGAACCTCTAACTGTAATAGATGATGATTATTACAGTGTTGTTCCCACTAATGACCCTGATATTATGAATAAACCTAATATTAAAAATGATTAAATACCTATGAAAAATAATGTACCTCATCAACCGATTGTAGGCAACAAAAGGCCAAGAACATAACCATCATGGATGGATGATTACTATTTGTATTCATGTGAATCATCCTGTTTTTCGGTAGATACAAATATAGAAGAACATATCCCTTAACCTTTTCTATTGCGATGAAATTGCACGAATCAACTTTATGGTTAGAATCTATGAGAGAAGAACTTGATTCTATAGAAAAGAATGAGGTATGAGATTTATGTGATCTACCAGAAAATAAAAAAGCCATAGGATACAAGTGGGTGCTAAAAAAGAAGTATCATGTTGATGGATCTATTGATAAATTCAAAGCACGATTAGTTACCAAGGGTTATAACCAGAAGGCAGAAATAGATTTTTAGGAGACGTATTCTCCTGTAGCTAAATTTGCATCTATTAGAATTATTTTGGCTATTGTTGCATATCTTGATTTGGAGCTATTCCACATGGATGTTAAAACAATATTCCTTAACGGAGAGTTGAAGGAAGTGATATATATGCAACAACCTGAATGTTTTCAGGTGAAAGGACAGGAACATAAAGTTTACAAATTAATGAAATCTCTATATGGTTTAAAACAGTCTTCTAGACAATGGTATCTCAAATTTCATGATGCAGTTACTAAACTTGGTTTTATTTAAAATAAATTAGATAATTGTGTATATGTATCTCAAATTTCATGATGCAGTTACTAAACTTGGTTTTATTTAAAATAAATTAGATAATTGTGTATATATCTTGAAAAGTGGGAGCAAGTTTACTATATTATCCTTATATATGGATGATATATTGCTCATTGGAAATGATATAGAAATGTTGAATAAAACCAAAGTAAATCTCAGCGAAAAGTTTGAGATGAAAGACATGGGAGATGCATCATATATTCTTGGAATTCAAATAATTCGAGATAGAAAGTCTAGAATGCTAAGTTTAAATCAAGAAAAATATTTAAGATCAGTTCTTAAAAGGTTTGGAATGAAGAATTCTAATCCGGCACCAACTCCGTTTGTTATGGGAAAGAGATTATGTAAAGAGCAAAGTCCTGTAGAGGGGCAGAAGCCATTAGATATTCCTTATGCTCAAGCAATTGGAATCTTGATATATGTAATGTTGTGCACCAGACCTGATATAGCTTATGCTGTGAGTCTAGTCAGTCGATATCAAAGTAATCCAGGACCAGCACATTGGGAAGCTGTTAAAAAGATTATGAAGTATATCAGAGGTACATTGACTCATAGATTAGTTTATCAAGCTGATTCGCCTGAACTCCTTGGTTATTCCGATGCTGATTTTGGAGGTGATAAAGATGATGGAAAGTTCACTTCGGGACACTTATTCATCTTTGGAGGAGGAGCTGTTTCTTGGAGTAGCGAGAAACAAGGGTGTGTTGCTAGATATACTCAAGAAGCTGAATATATAGCTTGCAGTATGGCAACTACACATGCTGTCTGGATAAGACGGTTTTTGATTGATCTTGATCTCAATTTGTTAGAAGGACCTATTGATATTTATTGTGATAATCAAGCAGTGATTAGCTTAATCAATAGTGGTG